AAAATTTCTCACTTTTGCTATTGATTGTCGTTGGTAACATTTTGTCAGTTAAAACAGACTGATATCGGGTGCGTCCGCCTAATTATTACTGTTTAAATAGTCAATCATAATGATCGACGTAACCAACACAGTGACATGGATTGGTCGTACATATATGAAAATTAGTGTTTAGTTGAAAGTGTAATTTCATTTGATGGACCTGTTTGTAGAGTGGTGAATGCAAATGGAAGGTCTGGAAATCCTGATGTAAAAGTATTCAAATAAAAACTATATTCGTGTCATTCCCGTCCACTGAAACTTAAATGACTCCAGCTCTCCGTTTAGACCGAACTATCAGCCGAATTTAATATGACTTTTCATATTTTACATGAACTCAAAGCCAAATTAGGATGACGAAAACTTCTTTAAAATATTTTATGAATTTATCGTAACTTTTCTTTAACAATAAATAGACAAAATTAGCTTATATTCTCTATAATTGCGTTGACTGTAAACGTAACTCAAATATCTTGCAAAAGTTAAAAGCGATTAAAGAAACAAATAGACCATATTTAAGTCAAATAAGATCGTGTACTCAGCTAATTTTGATATATCCATCACATATACACGAATAAAATTATCGTATCAGCATCTTTGTACGGATAACTGAACAGAAACGATTGTAGCGTAGTTTTTAACAGAGTATTCAAACGAAAGAAATTAACTAGAAGGTATTTTGTAGACCCGTATCATTAAAGAAACCACAGTACATTCTTGTTGTAACGACATTATTTGCACATCAGTAGTATCAATATATGTACACATAAGTCATGTAAATAACTTTTCATCTATGACAGTAAAAAGATAAACAAAACAGGCCAAGTTTCGCTGTGAACCACATCAGCATGAATATATACGGTTATTTTTACCCATATATATATATATAAGGATCAATATCTTACTGATGGGAATTTCATATGAAAATAATGTAACTTTCTACGTTAGCTGACATTTAATTCGTGATGGAAATCGCGGCATTACTATTAATAGTCAGAGCTATCATATTGTGGTGTGAGCTACTTATAAGTAGTATATGACGTGAGTGTCAAAAGTATTGTCTGGCAGAAGATGGGGGAAGATCAAGAAAGGAAGATTTAGAACACAATGGAATTTGTATGAAACGCATGAATAGTGACAATGGATTGATGTTTTGCAACAGGAACAGTCCAGTTTGATATGATGGACTGATATTTTGCAAATTAACGATTTACGATATGGTTTTCCAATTTTACTGAGTAACTCTGTAACTCCGGTTGCCCCATCTGCGTTCTCCTTCACTAAAATGTGACAAAATGCGTAAGTTAGAAATCAATGAAAGGAAAGTAGAACTCTTCGTAGCAACTTTATCATAATCCAGAAAGCAATAAGATGACAAGCTGAGTGAAAGGTAAGTTAATTATTAAACGGCCTTAAGAGAATAGTTCAGAATGAAACTAAAAGTATAAGAGAAATCAGATATCCCACTGATCATGGAATAGCTGATGCGTTAGTGAAACTAGTTAGGATAAACTATTTTGACAAAAACTGATGCTATTGTATTATATTATTCTTACCATCAACAGTTCACTTCCTACTTCCTACCATCAACGTGTACTTCCACCTATTATGTTTAGTTACGAAATTGACTAACAAAATGACCTTCATTGATTTAACATTTTCACATCAATATCCATGAATGGTGGAGTGAACCCTGATAACTATCTAACTGAAAACAAAAATTATTTGTTTATATGTATTGTTCTAAGCCATAATCATGAAATGTGCATTTGAGTAGCATTTGATCAGGCGTTAATGATCACAGGAGCATGGGAATAGTAGTCTAATGATACTCGTTAATTGCTACAGACTAAAAGTGACGTCGTCTATTTAAATGACTCAATAAATTGAAACTTGCACAAGTTTAGTCGAGAGTACTACAGGTAATTCATTTTTGCCTTCATTCTCATTCTTCATTTAATCACTTTGTTAACAGCCATATCGAATATAAATAGTCAGTAGTTCGAACTACATACAAACACATTTACGCCTTCTGTTCTATGTTGAGTAACTATTTGTTAGCTTACCATCTAAAAATATTTCTGTTTGAAGTAATTTATATAATATTAAACATTTAGGTACAGTAATTTTATCCCACTGATTTGTCGAACACATAATATAGTCCCTATTTTTGATGTTGCAGCATTTTGGAATGAACTGTTTTGATAAAAGTCTCTTTGTTTTGCGCATGTCAGTCAAATAATTAAAACTCTAAGCAACTAACAGTACATCGGTGTCACAAATGACAGTCAAAATCGTTATAACTGTTGAACGTTGAGAATGAGATCCATATCATTCAGTCTAATTTATATGCAAGTTCTGTGCTTTACATACATAAGTACGACTAACATCAACATATCCATCTACTTAAAGACCGGTGAATAATGTTGTACTGTTTTGTTCGGTATGTGTAATTTATGTGAAATCTTGGCGGTATCACTAACATTGATAGTAATTATACCAGGACATTTACAGAAATAAATACATTCAAAACGTGATTTTGAGGAAAGGATGAATACAGTTTACTGAAAAACTTCATATTTACAGTTCAGTTCATTACAAAGCTCCTGAACCTCTAAAATTCAAATAGCCAAGATCCATCAAATCCAACATCCATGAACCCGTAGAATATCATAAAATAATTAATCAAATTACCAGAAGTTTATGGAGTTTAGACTTGATTGATAAAAAGCAGAAGCAAAATGGGAACTCAAGAATAAGCTTCACATTTAGTTTTCTTATCAGATAATTACAGGAATCAAAATATATATTACATTCGCAAACCATCTGTAAATAATATGACTATATTCAGCTCAACAAATATATGCCTAATTCTAATGAAAATTTGTTGAGTTTCACACAACTTACTTCCTTAGAAAATCACATTCCAAATTATCAAAGTAAAAAGGTCAACCCGTAATTATCATTTTTTTTGTCTGACATTGGAATATGTAGAGTGAATATGTCTAAAAATTCTGTCTAAAAGAGTACAATTTATTGCATTCATTCTATTGAATATACTCGTGTTTTTGGAATTTTATGATAAGTCAATAGATTTTTACGTAATCTGGTGAGTTATCAATTATTAACTTTAGGAAACTAAGCATTAATGGTCTACTGTATGAAAATTTCAATAAATTCCTAATTAGGTTTTAGTAGAGACCGAGTCATAGATTGACTATGATCACCACTAAATGTTCGATGCTTTCCCGTCACGTAAATCAAAAATAAGTCCATGTTCGAGTATTGATTGAAGGAGAAAGTAGGCATTACATAGAGAGCAGTACGTTATGAAAAATGGCAGCAACTCGAAAAGAAAGTTGCGCGCAAGAAAAGTGTTTTTGGTACAGTTAAACAAGACGAGTACAATAATAAATGCTTATTTTTTACCAATAGCGTTTACTTCGTAGAAATGTTCCACTACAAGGTGATCAAAATCTTTTCGCTATATGATATAAATTTCATTTCCTAATGTCAAGAAAATAACAAACGTTAAAATTGAAATATGAAATCAAGCTCAAAATTCAAAATTATTGCCATCAGTTACAATGTTGCGAAGAATACTTTGTTTATGTGAATGATTTACATGGTGATTTTGTTGATTTGACAGAGTTCATCTAACTGCATCATGATTTTAACTGTTTTTCTGTCAAGATGAAAATGCCTATGAGATAATCATCATTCTTATGTTCAAGTCAAAATAAATGCATAATTTATCTATCGGATTCAGATTCACTAATATGAATTTACAACAACGTAGTTTATTCTCAAATACATTTGCACTGTTTTCAACTTGTTATCAAACACAACATAAGTAATGTAATTTTGCTGTGTTTTTTTAACTCATTGTACTTAATTATCGAAATTACCATACAGAATATAAATGATAATAATTCATAATCCTATTCAATAACCATTCTATTTTATGATTGATACTTATTGTCCTAGATATATCACAAATAAATCAAATAAATATTATTCCTTAATTCATATCATTTATATAAACTGATTACTGAATACATAATGCGAAATAATATGTTCTTTGTTTATGTCGTCGAAGATTTGAATGAATCAGTCTTTGTTCAATAAAAATTGCGGGAAAACGAATAATAACATTATTTATACCGTATAACACTCATTCATTTCATCATAATATTCATTCTTAGCTTAATTCTAACTCTGAAGTGAACTACTACTCTCTCCCTGGGATCATTTTCCATAAGATTCTTCTAGCATATAAGTTGAAAACAGAAATCTATTGCTTTTATCAGTAGTCCACTAAGACATGATGGATTTCAGATAACACAATGATAGTGATAATAATCTGTAACTTGGAAATAATTACAGCACCAGTACCAACTCCTAGGTATGATCTAGTTTTTACAAAATATCATAAAAACAAAATTATTGATATTCGAAAACTTATGATTTGTGAATTTTTTGACAGTACTTTTGTCAAAAAAAAATATCAACAGAGTTATATACACGATACGATAGTCATCCATATGGTAGAATACTTGGTACTTTCTAAAACCCATGTAACGGAGTCAAAATCACTATGTATGATGTTGATAACCCGTTCTGTTTTCTTTCTATTTCAGGGCGATCAAATACAAACGCTTTGGAAGCTGAAGAACAAGCCCTGAATACTCTGAACTTACAGGATGAGTCACAAGACTTTAGTACACTACCCACCCTATTTTTGTAAAAACCCCGCGTATTTAATTTTCAAATAAAAGAGTGCCGTGGCAACCACTTCGTGTTCTTTCTTGGTGTGAGGTGTTAAACTAACCTTCAGTGACTGCTGATTACACGTGTTACACTCATAGTAGAATTTAGAATTTCGGAAAAAATGTATTGTATTTACTGTTAACAACATTTAAACTAATGATAATTGCAAGTTCAATACACAAGAAATCAATTTATTATTTTCTTTGTGATTTTGTTATGTAAATGATTCGTGTAGTTGATGCATTTATTCTTCTACTGGCTACTGTTGTATTCGGTACCACTTTGCGATCAATTTTCCCAGTCGTTGTTGTATTCATACAAAATTTTTCACATTGTTCTTTCGTATGAAATCTGTTTTCATTGCCACCGCAACCTTTAAAAGTAAATGGCAAACACTTTTTTTCAGCTGAACTGTAATAGAAACGTGGTTTGTTTTGGAGACAATAACCTTTTTTCATTGGTAGTGCGCAAATTTCCGATGGAGTTACTAAAACGCAAATCATAAACAAAGCATCAAATAACCATAATGATTTTTAAACGGACAATTGTACATAATGTTACCTTCATAATCACACGTTAGTACATCAGTGATATTTAAAATTTATAATTGAGACCTGTGTGAAAATAAACTTTCAAAAGTATTGAATACATTCTTTATATCAGAAAATTCAAGTATTTTGTTTTTAGAAATTTACGTTCAACATAATGAAATGTAAAATTGTTATTAAGATGTCCGTCTTTTATAATTAAATTTGATCATAAAATTCAGCCATATTCATTTGATAGATATAAACAAAATCCTATTTTTTACATCATTAAATATTTTACTTCACAATGACATCTCATGTGACAAATTAACTAATTTTAGATACATACACATTTGAAGTGGAATAGTTGACGATTATAGTACTCAACTTCAGATATGATTGATCACAGTTTGAAACAAAAATTTAAATATTCACCTTATCATTGTACCAGTAACTTACATAAAAAAAGTGTTTAGTCACACATTAGTGAAGTACAGAATTTTGTTATTGAGAAAAAATTTGTTTTTTGGTTTAAAGTTTTAGAATTTGTGATTGCCTTGAATTCGGACGCATAGCTTTAAACTAATATGAAGTGAATAGGATAATTTTCATAAAGATCAACATTGGTTTACACTACAATAAATGAAATAAATTATTGTGTATACAGTTTAAAGAATCTCTTGTCGATCGAAGAAATCCGATATACTCAGTCTAGAATGATTCAATGATATTACTACGAATTATTAATGGAAAAAGTTAACGAATTTCATTTAAAGTTTTCAGTAGTAAAAATGGCAGTTTGGTTGACTTACGTAAATGTCACGACTGAGGAAAATGTTAATCATTTCAAGTATCAATAAATATACTGCAAATTATGAGAAATAAACACTAGTTGAACTATTATATCAAAATTTATTCACTTTTGTGTAATCCAGTTTGAAATACACACTAGTGAAATTAGTACACTTACGTAATCTTTTACTGCCGACATGTAATATTACACAAGTGAATACTAAAAGAGCAAAACATTTAAACAACATATTTCTCAAATGATAATGGTTTAACTAATTGAACACACTTATATACTGTTTACTGAATAGATTTTGTGGACACATTTCCATTTTAGGCCTATGTAAAAAATGACAGTTTGTCACAACAGCTATTCAATAGATATAATAAGTGACAGCAGTCAGTAAGGACAATATCATAGGCTTCTTTTTATGATATATTCTTTGAAAAAATCTGTCATTGTAAATCTTCTCTCAATAAACTGCTTGTCCAGTCAAGTTATCTGGTACAGTATTAGGAAATAACACAAATAAGTTACTCTTAAATTTCATAAATTCCTCAAGCTTTTGTCCATATCTGATCGAATAACTTAGATTTTGTTGACTAATCACATGTAACACAGGTAGCTTAACTGTTCAACATTTAAATGTTATTCACTGAGTTTTGAGATTAAGAAGTGTGTAATTCGAATAGTAACTACCAAGAACAACTTTACTGAAACAGTAATTTATGTTCTTGTCACAAGATAGTACTGGAATATAACCAAAACGTAATTGTCTTAATATTAACGATAGAAATCAGTTTTGTGGACATAACGTTTTGCAAAATGTAAAATCAACTGCACAGTTTGAGATTTACAAACAAATTGTGGTATTCAAATAACACAATGTGTGAAAAAATATAAATAGAGTTGGATGGAGGCTAGCAGTGGAATACAAAACGGGCATTTCATCTTATTCCGGATTAGTCAACTGCATGTACGCGCATCTCATGGCCGATGTTCACTACTAATCTCGAACCCAGTACGGTTCGCTTCAGATGCCACCGCATAATCCATTTAGCTACTAGCTCCAGAGAGCCATTGGATCGAGAAATGAACCTAATATTGATTCATTTATGTTGACTGTTTGAACCCATCTATCGATGTCATGACTTCGATTGACGAGTCTCCTTGACTCAACTGTTAGCCACCATCCCTCTCTTCTGATAGTACCTGTAACATATTATCAATATCGAGTCAATCCACATAGAATGTACATATGCCAAACATACTCATCAATTGCAGTTCTAATAATCAATGAAAGGATTCGTAAAACCGATAAAAATAAATAATAGCATTTTAACATTGGTCGCTTGGTATCAACTATGAAGTATTCAAACAATTAACTTCAAGTAGCTTTCTGAGAATAGAATATCTGTAGCATGGCAAAGTATGTCATTATTAAGATAGATTCAAAAACTGCACTAATTAGGTATATTTATGTGACATTTTCATTACGCAATGACATGTTTATGAATTGAGGAAATCTTATATACTCAATTTCGTACGCAAGGCGTGATAACTCTTCAAAATAAAGACCATCTAACTCCCAGGACATAGTTTAGATGTTTCATGCTACTTTTTCTAGTTAGCGTTCTTTAATAAGTTTAAAATGTGAGCGATAAAGTTGCTAACCTTATGCTCATCCCTCTTCCCTTATCCGGTCTTTAGACTGGCAGTAACCCTAGAACATATACTGGCTGAGTTCAAGATTTACATGTTTACTTAATTGTAGCGAGTTTATTCGAGTCATTTACTATCACTTTATGGGATAGCACAAATAAACCACTTAATAATCCAGCCTCTTTCTAAACTTACTTCGGTAATTCTGATATTTATGATGAGCCACTTGCAACACTTATAATATACAGTTTAACTCTGAAATGTCCGAGCTAGATCCTATATTTTGAAGTTATGAAACGTTAAACCAGTGTAATGTCTAGAAAATATAAGCTAATTCCGATGCGTACAAAGTTTTAATACCTAATTTGTTCGCTGAATAATTTCTGAAATTCATTTATTGATATGAATAACTCAAGCAGATTTATAGTCCCTTGATGTTTATGCAATCAGGCGAGACTTCATTAATGAACAGCATAAAGTGGTCTGATAGATTTAACAGATGATTTCAAATAGTTAGTCCCTTTTATAAATTTTGATAGAACAGTCATAACCTTGAATTTACCTTGCTAATCTTTAAGCCTAGGGTAATGTGACTATTCTCCTACCCTTTCTTATTCTTTTCGTATTACGTTAGTTTGCTCTCTCCTTTATTTACAATTATCACCCCATGTCTATTTGAACTTTTATTTAATTGACCTTTTATTCATCTTCATATAAAATGCCTTGACAAGTAAATATGTGTGACCGGATTGTTAGAAATGTATAGAGCAAATACATCACATTTTTCAGATCAATTACATCTTCTCACTGTTCTAGCAAGATTTCAAATAAATTTTAGATAAGTTTACTGGCACTATGCGATTACTACCCATACACACGTTTGTTATGAACTTCGCTCAAGTGAAAATATCATTACGAAACATGGAATCAAGTTTTATAACTTAAGATAACATTAGGTTGAGACCTTAGCTTGACATCTGCGTATAGGTAAGTCCTAGAAGAAACATCCTTACTCTAGTTATCAAATGCTCAGATATAACAGTTGTATGGAAACAGAAACGTTTTGATGCACATGAGTATCGTTTTCGCAAACCAACGAACAACTAAATTGTATTTATATATCTTATTCAAAACTATACAAAATAAACTATTTATTGAATGTTGACTGCAAATTTTTCTTTACACTTGGAGCAGTACTGAAAGATAGACTAGTACTGGTGACAGTTGCAGTTGCATACAATAGTTTCACATCCAGTTGTCTTAAGTTACTGTGGTGTTTGAATGAACTATTGACTTCTTGTTGTTGTTGTTGAATGCTTGATTTCGAATTCTAAATACAGTACATTCGTTCGTTCTTATCTCGTAGTTCTAGATTCACATACTTCTAATTATCATATTGGCGTCGCGATGGAGCTTATAATGGAACAGTTAGATATTCATTCTACTTCTGAAGCTTTGAAGATTATTTGGAAAGGTTTGAAATCAAGCTGTCAAATGTAATTTCGGTGATCAACTGCATGTGTAGCTGAGAGACCGATTAATTGTAGGAATCAACATACCTAGTTTGGAAAGAGAGCTGTTAAGAATGTCAAACTGTTCCTTTCAAGATGTTAGAACTGCGTGCATTAACTACGAGTCGTTGAATGAACTTGATATTCAGTCAATGAAGATTTCCAATACTTTGATTAGTTGTCATGAATAAATGCAGTCTCAGAGTCAATCAAAATTGTGTTCGTTTAACAGAGGTTCCTATTCTCGTGTAAAAATGAACGGTGTCTCAAAAAAGAATTACAAAGGAAATCAAAAAGGTGAGACCAAGTTTGGCAAATGTTTATCATGTGGAAAACTTCATTCTCGTTATTATTGTACATTTCGTAATGCTAAATGTTTTAGATGTGGTAAGATAGGACACATTCAAGCAGTATGCAAAGCTACTGTTCATTTTGCCTCAAGTAGTACTAAAGCTTGTAATTTAGATCCCAATAATTCAGCTGATCCTAATGATCATTTATCTTTGTCTACCATTTCGAAAGGTAATGCTCATATTCAAAAGCGACTATATACATCACTTGGTTCATGTCATGACTTTATTGTGGACACAGGCAGTATAGAGTCCATTATTTCATTCAAGAACTTGAAATCGTTAGATCCGAACGTTGTGATACGATCCACTGAAGTATCAATATTGGGGATTACTGGACACAGACTGCCTATACAAGGATGTTGTGAATTGCTAATAAGAGATGATAATTCCTCATACATACCTTGGGAATTTTTAGTTAGCGAAACAGGACTGTCAATACTGGGTTTAAAGAATTTGAAAAGGCTTAAAGTGGAGTTGTCTTTCCTAGCTTCTAAAGAAAATTCTGATGCTTTACTTGAAGATTTGATAGCCACGTGTGCTAAGTGCAGTGGAGGTATGAAAACTGCTATTGATGCTATTGCCGCCTCAACATTTAATGAGCTGGAGAGGGGAGTAGATACCTTTCTACTGCAATATAGAAATGCCAGACATTCAGTGACG